ACTCGCGCGTGATTCGAAAAAAAAAAGGAGGGGGGGGGGGGGGGGGGAGTTGTACATGAGGAGGCAGCTGTGTGAGGATGAATGGTTTGACAAAGAGTTCAGGGTTTAGTTTGAAGTGTGATAGGTTTCCCTAAAGAGATGAGTCTTTAGCGATCGCCTAAAGGCAGTCAGAGTGGGAGAAATGACGGACAGGTTGAGGTAAGGAGTTCCAAAGAATGGGAGAGACTCTAGAGAAGTCCTGGAGGCGAGCATTGGAGGAGTTGACGAGGGAGCTGGAGAGAAGGAGGTCTTTGGAAGAGCGGAGGGGACGGTTAGCGTGATGCTTTGAGACCAGGTTTGAGATGCAGACGGGGGCAGAGTTGTGGATGGCTTTGTAAGTGGTTGTTAATATTTTGAATTTTATCCTTTGGGCGATTGGAAGTCAGTGCAGTAAATGGCAGAGGGGGGTTGCAGACACTGAGCGGTTGGTTAGGTTAATAAGTCTGGCAGCAGCATTCATGATAGACTGAAAAGGGGATAGTCTGTGTAGAGGAAAGCCAATGAGGAGGGAGTTACAATAGTCAAGACGAGAGATAAGGGAGTGGACGAGTAGTTTTGCGGTTTCATTGGTGAGGAAGGGGGCGTATTTTGGAGATGTTACGAAGGTGAAGACGGCAGGATCTCAATAGAGATTGGATGTGGGGAAGAAAGGTGACGTCCGAGTCAAGGATGACACCTAGCACCTTGGCATAAGGGGAGGGAGGGAGATCTGCCAGCCCTGACTGTCAGTCACGCAACCGGTGCGGATCCCGGCACAAATTGTCGGGATCCGCTTCAGCTGCGGCGAGCCACAGCTCGCGGTATACTGAGCCTAGGGTGATGGGAGGACGCTAGTTTGTGTCCTCCCGTTACCCTAAGGAGCACTATGGGGAAAAGACTTAACCCCATAGTTCTCCTTTAAAAAGTGTTGTGACATCCAGACTGATATGTCAGTTAGTGATACCTAAGGAGACTGAGGAGGTGAGTTGCGGAGTGGAGAGATATATTTGAGTGTCATCAGCATAGAGATGGTATTGGAAGCCATGTGAGGTGATCAACTCACCAAGAGTGGAGGTGTAGATAGAGAAGAGAAGGGGTCCAAGGACAGAGCCTTGGGGGACCCCAACAGAAAGCAGAAGATGAGAGGAAGAGGTAGATTTGTAGGTTACACTTTGCATGAGTGTTAAAAGCTGAGCTTTGCTAAAGTTAGAACAATGACCCAATAACAGTGTTAACAAGTGCAGTAAATAAATGAATACTAAGCAGTGAAATATTGATATAAAGAGAGTATGTATTGGCACAACTGTCCTGCCCATCCCTTGAAGGTCATGAATAGGGATGACGGAAAATAGCTTATTCATAGCTTCTTTTCTCTTGAATACCTGCATGTAGAGATGTTTGTTGTGTACAGAATTACATAACGTGTATAAGTCTCTGCAGACTGAAGATCTACGTGAAAACATTTAAGAGAATTGTAAAAATGAATATTTTTCTCATTTGCCTAGTTTTCAAAATAGTTTGTTCATCACTACTATACACTTGTTGTGATCAGTGACACATTACTTGTTACAATGTACATCACTAAAACAAGCATGAGTGCATTACCTATACAATGAGTAAATCCAGCATTATTTAACTCTGTGATCTCTGAAGGTGGGATAGGAAATAGCTATAGTAAGGAGTGGCCAGGTTATGATCAAGGACACAGTGTAATAGTACATAGTATTTGCTGACCACTGCCAGACTGCACAAATCATTTGGCTTGGTAGATCAGACCACAGTAGACGCAGGGACAGAGTAGGTCCAAACACAGCCTATTTTTTAATCCGCCATCTGATGCTCTTATACAGGACATTCGTATATTAGATCTAAAACAGCTTAATTTACCATCATACTGACTTTCTATATTGGACTCTTGACCCCTGGTGCCAAATGTGGAAAGCAAGTCTAGATTCAAAGTATTAAAAAAACAACCTCTAATCAATGTTATTTCTTGTGCAAGTCACTTACAGCACTCAAAAGATTAATCTGCCCTTATAGTAGCTAATGTGCTAAAAACATAATAAAAACATTTGAGCAAATCCACTTATAAAAACATAAAAAAACCAAAGCCACGCATACCATTGTACCATGTACTTGCATTACCTGCAGATATGTCTTGAAGATGTGCTTTGCAGATCTGGTAATCACTTCACTAATTAGGATTTTCTAACAAAAGAAAAACAGAAGACACAATCAATGTGGAAGTCATGTGTTCAAAATATACACTGCCTTCAAGTATTCCTGGTCAGAATAGGTTGATAAGCTGCATTTCTGTATTAATGATGACAGAAGGTGAATATCAAATACCAGATGAGCTAACAGGAAGACTGGTAAGCTAAGTTTATGGCACCCACCAGAAATATTTTTCAGTGGCACGATCACAAAATGCTCTACAGAAAAAGTAAGAGGGATGATCAAAGGTCACACAATGTGAAATGGTTGAAGGACCGCGCTGTTTCTCTTACATCACAACATCAGAATACCATTTTAAAGTAAATCTGTACCAAGGAAGTACAGAGACTGCCATTTCTGACCCATCCTTCTAAAAGTGTGACCTGCCTAGATGTCAGGCTGATCCAATGGCTTCTGTACATTCTCAGGCACACTGTGGAACAAGTGCACTCTATGAAGGCAATGCTTTGAACAATAAAGTTGACTGCAGGACTGCTGCTTGGTGTACAGCTGTCACTGGTTCTGATCTCATGAGCATACAGCTGGACAGGAGCCATGAGGGAGCCATCGGCTGAGATCGAATTGATGGAGCACATGTGCCTTAAGTGGGGTCATCGTTTTGCTCATCGTTATCATGTCAGCCTCCATTGCTCTCAGTACAGGTTTCCTTTAAATAAATCAGCAGAACAAATGTTTCTGTAAGTATCACAGTCTTTGATAATGCACCCAAACTTAAAAAAGAACTCCAGGAAAAACCTTTACTAAAGTGACACTAAACTCAGGAGTTACATCTCAAAGATGCATTCACGTACCTTAACTATTAACAAAAATGTATCCTATTTGTGTATCACTCGGCTGTAGATCCTCAAATCATCTCTGAATTGGTGCTGACACTGTCCTTCCTTCTGGAGGGTGGCTACTTTTGTTCCCAGTGGTCCCTGTGTGTGTGTGTTGTAAAGTAGTCACCACTCCAATCTCATTCCTGTGATGGACTACAATTTCATTGCAAATTAGTAAACTAAACATGAGATTGTAGTCCATCACAGGAGTGAGCTGGAAGTGGTCACTCTGCAACACACACAGGGACCATGGGGTACAGAAGTAGCCCCCCTCCAGAAGGAAGGACAGTGTCAGCACCAATTCAGAGATGATTTGAGGATCTACAGCTGAGTGATGCACAAATAAGATACATTTCTGTTAATGGTTAAGGTACTTGAATGCATTTTTAAGGTTTAACTCCCGAGTTTAGTGTCACTTTAACCCTTGCAGTGGGGCTACCCCGCAGCACTGCAAGGGTTAACTGCTCATTTTTTTTTGTCTAGGTTAAAAAAATAAAAAGAAAGTTATACTCGCCTAACTGCGGAGCCAGTTTGTTCTTAGGCTGGGTTCACACCTAGGCGTATTGAATATGCGCGTTTGTCGTCGCGCGGTTTTACCGCGATTCGCTGTAAAAAAAACGTGCGACAAACGCACGTTTCCGAGGGCTACTTGGCTGTATCCCAATGGAAACGCGAGACCAAAACGCCCCAAAGAAGTACATGTACTTCTTTGGGCGTAGGCCGTTTTGTAGCGCTTTCAGACGGGCTGAAATACGGAAAGGTGTGAACCATACCCATAGAATACAATGGGATTTTCAAGTTTGTACGTTTTGTAGAGCGTTCATAGAGCGTTGAACGCGCGACAAAACGTAAAAAAGGTGTGAACAGGGCCTTAGGCCAATCCTCCCAGCCTCTCTCCCCCTCCTCTGCAGTGGTCCTGTAAATCATCACATTCTATACACTGTGTATAGAAGTGAGGACGCTGAAGAACATTCCAATGCTGCAGTGTAGGAAGTGACAAGCTGGAGAGAGTGCTGTGACAGCTCGCCGGATCGGAGCTTCGGGTGAGTATAGCTGTTTTATAGGATCGCTTCCCTCTCCCTAGTCCCGATTATAATCTGCTGCAAATAAGATTCAATTCATTACTTACATAGACGTGATCTAATTGGGATGGGACAGGAAATTTCTTGACAATTTCTATGACTTTTCCAAGGTAGCGCATGTTAATTCCTCTTTGATGCATAGCTTCAGCGAATGTGGCTCCATCCATGGGAACTACGTTATGGTCAAGGCAGTCCTTAATCTGTAAAACAGGTGACATAATAACACATTGCTACATGGGGCACTCACTTAGTATACAATGCAAAGCTACTAACAGAAAAGACGTGTACCCCGAAAACCAATGCACATTATTTGCCTGCCCTCTGCGTGTGGTCTGATGAAAATAACACCATAATATTAACAGGACCCTTGGCTCTTCGACATAGCCATTTACTTTTTATTTATTAACGTCACACACGGCAGGTTTAACCCCCCCCCCCCTTCATGGCCAGAGTAGTTGTCAGGGACTGAAGACTGCTTGTTGGATTATAGCCACTATTTTGCATTTTATTGAAGTTGAATAGGTTGACGTTTTACTCTTACAGTTACGTTTTTTAATTATGTATGGGATTTTTATTATTTTTAAATATGTATGTAAAATAGGAATAAAAAGTTCCTGTTGGTCCCATCTATAAATACTTGCAATAACAAGAGCAATGATTTGTCTTTGTTGCAGCATAACCAAGGACCACTTTAACAAGGAGAGCATACATTATCAGCTGTGATCGCCTTGCTGTTATGGTGACCAGAAACTGAAAATTACTGGCTCCTAGGCATGAGTACAGTTCTAAAAATCAGTAACACTGATCACAAGTGTGAGGGGCACACTTGAAAACATGCACTCAAAAAGAGAAATGACAAGGCCTCCATCTTATGCGTTATATACGACATAGATCTAGTGTATCAGTAATTAAGTTGTTAAGCTGACCCCCAGCAATCAGCACAGCCACTTGAGTCAATTCACAACAAACTGACCAAAAGTGGGTTCAGTTATTAGCTGGAAATGCTAAGGATCCATTTATATGTGAATTTGTGTTGTTTATATTCTCATTGCTACAATAAGTTTGTTACCATAAGGCCCTTTTCACACAGGTTAATCAGGAAGGGATCTGTGCACGGATTCCCTCCTGATCAGAGCAGCGCGGAGAGGATGTCACCAGTGTGACATCCATGTCCATACAGTTTTTTACTTCACCTTCTGGAGGGAAAAAGCGGAATCTGTTGCACCCCATGTCAGTCTATGGGGAATCGGATGTAAACAAACATGTCCCCCAATCCGGCATGGTCCGGTCCAGTGAAAGGGATCTCTGATCCTTTTGTTTTTCCAGACCTGGCTGGAGTCGGGGGGTAACCGGGTGTAAACGGAGGCTTGTCGGTTTACGCAGGCTGCCCATAGACTACATTGTGCATCTGATCAAGTCCGCTTGAAAAACTGACAGGCGGACCTGAGCTGACCGCCATGTGAACGGGGCCTAATAGAGAATTTGTCGGAGAAAGAAAATATAGCCCCCTGGCATCCCTTCAATTTTTTTCCCCACACTGTAAAATAAGAATGTGACGTGACCCATTATTATTTAAATGTTCCAGCTCTTGAAGAACTGTTATTCTTAACACATAAAAAGGCTTTTAGAAATATATTAAAATGGTCTCGGCAGTACCAATGCTACCTTCACTGTATTGTGACATATTCATGACATAATGGAGGCAATACCTTTATGTACTTGTTTGCCGATTTACAAAATGTAGCAATAATGATGCGATGGGCACCATGTTCCCATTACATTCTTACCAAGCATGGAATCTGACAGGTCAACACAAAAGCGGCTGCATCCTTCAGCAACTGTTTCTGATTGTGCACCTCTGCCTGTGCGCACTCAGGGAAACGCACACCTGTGGTCAAAACATGCATGTGAATCGCATATATTGGTTTCAAGTCTCAAACTCACTTGCTTTTAAAACAAACAAAAAAACGCAATGTAAAATAAAATGTACACCTTACAGTAAAATAAAAATATTACAGGTCAACTCGTCATTCTTTGACCTTTAAGGAAGCACCTGGTCTTTTGTTTTACATGAGATTTCATGGTGGCCTTAAAGTACACCTGTATTGTCCAGAAACCTAGCAAACCAGCTTTGAACTGAGATAGTAGGCAGCATCCGATACCTGCAGATCACACTAAATAACATCAAAGTGCCTCTGCTGACCCCCTGAAATTTTTAAAGCAACCACGTTCACACTACATCCCATAATGCAATGCAGGGATCTAGGCAGAGATGCACATATATTGCATTATGAAAATTGGGTGGTTCTTATGTTGAGCCATGCTTTTACATAGGTCTGCTTGGGGCTCCTGGAGCACGGCAAAGCTACTAAAGTTATTGAGCATTTTCTGCAGGTAATAGACAGTCCCTGTTGTCCTAACATAATATCAACACTATTTGGACAATACCAGTACCCCTAAAAATATAAATTGCTTACCATAACAGTTTACACCTTTGCCATTAGACTAGAGTAGCTTGAAGGATTGTTAAACAATTTGCTACAACACGACAAGCATGTATGCCTGGTGCCAGTGTGCAGATATAAGTGCCACAGACAGCTGCACAGCAATACTAGATCAATGTACTGTACAGCACTAAACAGTCAGCCCTAGAATGTTTACCTACAATGCTTAGATTGTTCAATACCTGGAGAAAAGATGTCCGAGTTGAAGCGAATATCAAAGGACATTTCACTGATAGAGCCAACAGCTTGACATGCTTTGCGAATTACCTCCCGGCTCTTCATATCCACTGGAAAAAAAATAAAATATATGAACCAATTTTTTTTAAACACACAAATAACAAACTGTATAAAGACAAAAGGCCAAGTAACAGTGCAGACATTTTCTATACAGGGGATGACACAACAATTTGAATAGGTTTGCTTAGCAAAGAAAAGACATCTATAGTTTGATGTTCTGTATGCTAGCTCTGTTTGCTAATGAAACAAGATAAATTACAGCAGCCTCCATTTTTATCCCCTATGATTTATTATATCTCAGCTTGTTATGTACTGAAAGCATGAATCATGCAGAGTTCACTTTGTAGGCACAGCTCACATATATATATAGGTTTCTACCTGATTCATTGTTGGATGCCACAGTCTCTGCTAGCTCTTTGACTTGGGACTCTCCATCTATACTGTCCCCCATCTTGTCCTCAGACAGGCTGCTTTCCTGAGGCTCAGTATTGGCAGAGGATTCAGATGAGGTTGTAGGACCCCCGTTTTCTAGGGAAGCGGCATTCTCCTGTGAGGAGCTCTTCTGCTGCATCAGCTGCATGGCAGCCAACTTCATGAACAAGAGGTATCTGAAACAGAATCATGATAAACCATCAGTACAACAGTTCCTTGTCCACACAGATCTACCAATGGACGAATTCCTGTTCTCATAACAGTGAGGGATATATCTATCTATACATAGATGATAGATATATCCATCTATAGATATATCTATCTATCTATATATAAATAATATCTATCTATAGATACAGATATATCTATAGCTAGATATGCCATTACTGTCTTTATTCTAATTTGTGTACTTGTTCCAGGTTTATTCTAATCTGTGTACTTGTGTCTCATTGTACATAAGCTATTGGATCTACATGACAGCCAGGAAAATGGAGAGGTCTGCTATTGAAGCATGCATTTTCTCTCAATTTTCATAGATAACAGTACTGAAATTCCCCATTGTTGTATTAGATTGTAATTTTTTAATATGGTTTACACTGTTTATGTGGCTGCATTGCCAGCTCTACATGTGCTGCCTGCATTGCCAGCTCTACATTATGGCAATTGAGTCAACAAGTGTGTATATGAAACGTAAATCATGAAAAAATGAAATGGCTAAAATTTTAAATGCGAAAGTAACAGTGAAAAGTACTTTTAGTACATTTACCAAAACCTCGATGTATACTCACTAAAAATTCAGTTTCTACTTCAAAGCCTCTACTAGAGTACTTCAAAGCCTCTACTAGAGACCCTGAATGCATCCGGGTGATTAATCTGTCCATTGGGCTGTATGGAGAAAGGCCAAACTATGGAGTTTTATATTTAAAACACCGCAAACGTCAAAAAAACTGTTTTTTTTTCCACTCTGCTATTAATTCTTAGCGTGTTCTCAAACTGGTACATCTCTCCATCGCTCTTCAAATTTCTGTAACCAAGGTAACCTCAGGCTCCAGGTCACCCAACAGAAAGAATGCAACTCCGCTGGATGATGTGCATGCTAAACATGCTTTTTATTGTTCTTTGTATTTCCTAACCATTATCATGTTGCAACAAGACAAAACCCAGGATCAGGCTAATGGGTCTCAAAATAATCGACTGTGTACAACCCGGGCATGTTAAAGCCATATGAAAGTCTTATACACCCCATACTCTGGATGATCCGATATCTGGCCTTTCCCGTTATGATCCCAGAACATAATGAGGAAATGAGTTTTTCTTTGACTCCTACTGGTTTTAAGATCGACTTTTGTCTCATTTTAATTGTTCATATCCCTGCAAATGGTAGAGATTACTTTACTCACTTTACTTACCCCAACACATTAGATTTCAACTGCAAAACATTTTCCGATGAAGGGTTTCAATTCATACTTTTACCATGAAAACTGTAACATTCTGGCAGCGACGTAGACTATTTACCTACACATGAGCAGCCACTACATATGTTTATGTAGCTAATGGAATCACAGAAAAACCAGCCACTCAACTCTATCTACTGACTGCTGGTCTGGACTGACAGGAAGGGGAATTCTTCATTTGTAATTGACTACTGGAACAGATGACATTAAGGTCTGACTTACACTTTCCTGGCTTTAAAAGCATGCTTTTTTTTTTACAAGCGTTTTTCACCCTTTTACAAACCTTTTCTTTGTCATAGCGTAATAGGTCTTGCCTTGAAGAGTGGGGAATGATTAGAACTCATGTTGGGTTTTTACTGGGGATGCACCAAAATGAAATTTTTAGGCCAAAATCTAAAAATGTGTTAGGCCAAAACTGAAATGACTTTGAAAAAAATTATTTTAGGTTAGTTTTTTTACTTTACTGTATCTTCGGAGAAATATCAGGGTTCTAAACAGACCCCTGATATTTCCCTTTTAAAATAGAAAAAGAAATTGGAGGAAAACTATGAGGCGAGTGAAAAACACTCACCTCATAGTTCTCCTTTAACTCTTGAGCTGACACTTTTGCTGAACAGCTTGGCCTGTTAAAGGAAGGTGAGAAATCCCAGACTTACTGGCTAGATCGAAGATTAAAACAAAAAGGAACAAAAGCCTAAAAAAAATAAAAAAATACCTAATCCAGTCACCACATTTAACAATTTAGCCGTTGGCCTTTTACATGGTTTAAGCTTTTAGTCCTTTCAATTACCTATAAAATAAAAATCCTAACCCAGGACCAGGAGACATTTACCTGTGTTCCACAAAAGCGTCCACCAACTCCTGCCGTAAACAGCAAAGCTTGTGCCTGTGTTCTTTGGGGAAGCCCATTTTCTTACATTCTTCCGGCATATCCTCACCTTCCACAGGCAAGAAATTGAGGTCTGGGGGGAAGGTCCGTAGAAGATCCAAAATATAATGCCGTCCATCATTGCCAATGATACCTTTACACTCTACGGAGGAGCACAGCTCCACATCCTCATCTTTGTCATTAAGGACTTTGTGTTTTAAAATCTTGAGTGACCGGCTTGTTTTCTCCAGCAGTTCCAGGTACTTTGGGTGGGATACAATAGTTTTGCCGAAGTCAATGGACCCGTAAATGACGCTCTGCTCTTGTTCCCGCTCCAATATCCCTGGAATAATTGATTGTGCAGTAACTCTGTAACCCCTATAATCTACCACCACGGTTCCCAATGTGTACAGTCCTTCCACATCTACTGCATTGTATGTCCGCACCCCATTAAGATCATTTGTAGGCGATACATAAGCAGCACTATCTCCACCAAAATCTTTGTAGTGATCCCGGACATCAAAACCCAAACTGAAAAAGATGTTATTCCAAATGAACATCTGCATCTTTGTCTCTTCACTGGGGTTGATGGCCATGACATTACCATCAATAACCGCCATGGCACCTCTGGTAGCTGCTGCAGTAAAATCACTGTGGACCTAAAAAAAAAAAAGACAAATGAAAAAAAGGTTATGTTTTATAACAATGCAAATAGGCCTGCAACTACTGATTAGATTAGTTGATTCTGCTTGTTTTATGGGCTGTGACACCACCCCCGATACCCACTGCTCCCAGCTGGATGGGAGGGGACACGGGACCCTTGCAGCTGGTGCCCAGCAGCGAGTAGAGCTCTGTGCCTCAATCTACCGCCTGCCTCAAACACCGCTGCATGCTGTGGGCTTGTGTCCCGTTCGATCCCCGCTGCTCTCCACGTCTGTATTGGCAGAAGCAGTGGGGATCAAAGGTAACACAGAAGGGTGCAGCTGGCACCCAGTGGGGGAGGAGATACCTCATCTTCTGCTGGACAGGAGACTTGTAGCCAGTGAAAAGTCTCCCATCCAGTGTCTGGGAGCAATAGCCAGCCTGCTATTGGCTATTTTAAATTGCAATAGCCAAAAGAAGGCTGGCTATTGTGCACTTGCTCACTGCCTGCTGTCAATCAGCAGAGGAGGACCTAAATATAAGGTTACTTATATTTGTATTTTTGTCCAATTTTGGTGTGTTATATTACATAAAAAAAGTTTGGTTATTATATTATATTGGCTTAACTTGTCTAATATAAAAACATAAAATAGTTTGAAAAGAAAAAGTAAATTTTTGGTTTTGGCCTGACAAATTCTGCTGCGGCATTGCAGTGCAGTGCCATTCATTTCAATGGCACCCCAAACACGCCTCCTGTGCGATTGCCCCCACTGGAATGCGCAGTACCGCAATGCCATGTGTTCGTGTGTGGTGCAATTGCAAAAAATGTGCACGCAGTTTTAGGGGCCTTCCCACTTGTCAGACAGCTTTATCTGAGGTTCCTGCCTTTCCCTGGACAAAGTCCGTATGACGAAATGCATCGGGATTAGGTTCAGGCAGTACTGAGGTTACCCCTGCAGGAAGTGCTAGTGGATGTCATCAGTTCCGACTCCGCTCCTAAGAATCGGACGACTGTTTGTTTGCTACATGCTTATACACTATGGCCCTCTTGTAAGTGTTTATTTTTATCCCTTATTAAACTTGATGTGATGTACATCACTATTGGAGTTTTTTCTCTTTTGGGTACGGTGATGGTCCTGTGTGGCATCTTGGAGGAATAGCCTTTCTGTCTATCTGAGGATCGCTCATCTTCTTGGTTTGCACTGCCTGCCTGCCATTCAGATTCATATAAATCATTGAGAGATCTGGATATTTTTGCCTAATATCTGGAGGGAGGAATTGCTTGAAGGATTCTTTTGGACCAGATGATTTTACTTATTATCCTCTTATATATAATGCTCATTTAATTTTTTAGGAATTATTGTATCATACTTCTTCAGTTTGATGAGTGGATTTTTTCCATTTTTTACACGAACACTGGATGATTGTCACTTTCTATATGGAAATTTTATGAGAATTTTTATATTATAGACTATTAGTTTTGTTTTTTACACTATCTGGTTACTTTGTTTTTTGTGCTCTAGTGCATTTTTTTCTATTTGTAATATTTATTATTAGCACAGTTCATTTAGGATTATTCATATGCATTTTTAGATTGAATTAATAGCGCGATGTACCATTATTCACCTATTATCACTGCAGCTTGACCACTTTAGGAATTATTTATTGTTAGTTCTACTACTAGCGCGGTGTACCACCTTTATCCATTCAATGACAGACAGCCTGTCTGAAAAGAGATTATGGAAGTGTTGTCTTTTTTAGCAAACCCATAGTGCTTTGGGGATCCTTTGTCATGCAGTAAATATTTATTGGTAAAATTATGATTGTGTACTAGATAGATCTACTGCATCAGTTTAAAAAATGCATAAACGTTCAAATAAAACTGCCTAAAACCAATATGTGTTTCCCCTAAACTGGCAATGCACAACAGCTTGCATATCATAGGAGCTTTATCTTTTTTTTGTTTCACAATCTTTTTATTATTTTCCAAAAAACAAACAAAAGGGAAAACAAACACGTACATCACATCATGTACGGTATTAGCTTTTTTTTAAATTCAGATATGCGTAAATATGACATGCTGATAGCAGCCGCACATGTCCTAACAAAGCCATGCTTAGATTAAGCATTGTACTTCTAAAATATGTATGTAGGCGTGTTCCTTTTAAAAATTGTATCCATTAGTGTCAATCTTCTTCGAGTGGATATGTGAATGAAACATTTCAAACATGCAGTACATATTACCTTGAATATAGCTCTCTCTCTTAAAAGTCTTTCTGGTAAATTCTTACGAGTCAATTCTCTTGTTGTCTGTAGCTCTTCATTCCAGTCCCTGGTCTGAACCAATGAAAAATATCCATAAGCATGACAAAAGTATGATACCGAGGCTAAAACATAATCTATAAGAAAACCTCACCTGTCCAGGAATGTGCTCCTCGTATCCCAGACGGGATGTATAGGCATCTTCTGCTCGTACACAGTCCATGGCATGTTCCACTTGGGGAGCAGTCCAGCTATAAAGTTGGAATGGAGTAGCAATCCGCTCGAACGGGTGTCTCTGAACTCTGTATGGAAAGAGAGAAAATTACATAGAAAGAATCGTTTACACTAAAACTGTCTGCTATACCTACTGCAAAGTACAAAAACCCTTCTATAGTCTCTTTAAAAGAGAACTAGTTCTCTTTTGGGTCAAAAGGAGTACATTTACTACTATACTCCTGTGACCCAAAGTCACCATTTTGCTCCCTATTTGCTGACAGCGCAGAACTGTGCTGTAGCCAGGAAAGATCCCAACAATATTATTTGGGACAATATCCCAAGCAAAATACTGTCAGCATCTACCCCACTGCCTGATTGACAGCTGGTTCTGCCTCTTTAGAGCCAGAGCTAGCTGTGCCCACCTCCTCCCCTGTCTGTCCCTCCAATGCGAGCTGAAGAAACAGAGAGGGGAGGGGGAATCTCTGCAGAGAGCAGGGAATGACAGTCATCACTCTCTGCAGGGAGAAGGCCATGAGCTGAGCAATCAGAGCGCTGAGCGATCACAAGACGCTATCTACAGAGCCAGCATGTGACCCCTGCAGTGTCCCATGCAGGCTCTAAGTATTGGGAAGGGTACATTTTACTCTCCCAATACTTCTCCCTTAATAGCATAATAGGGGTGACAGCCCCAGAACATGTATCTTCAAAGGCAAGTGAGAAATTGCAACTGATTTTTTTTTTCCCCCTCACATGTACAATTTAGGCTTGACCTATTAAAAATGCCATTCAAAAGCTGACCAATAAGCACCTTACTTGTATCAAATGAAAAAATATATAAAATAAAATCACATCATATGTAGAAAAATGACGATGTGCCTTTTTTTCCAAACCTATACCCACATAAAAATAAATGCACAGTATTTATGAAAAAACACTTCTCATTGTATTATATTATTATATCTAAGGGTAGACGGCATCTGTTTGCATTGTAAACTTGTCATCTCTGTAAGACGGTATAACTAGGCATCAATAACTGGTTTCACTAATACTACATTTTCTGGCATCCGACAATGACAGGATGAATACAAGATAAATTATAGCAAAAAGTCCCATGCTTACACACGTCTCGCTGACATCTTCACATGCTGATACAAAGCAAAACTCATTTGACTCATGTGGAGAACATGGTGGTGGGGATAGAATCTACTAATGACTGGACGAGGCTTTCCCGCTTATGAATTTAATTAGGAAATCCTTTGGGTTTTACACACGAGGATTGCCCACTTAGTCTTCCACACATCACAGCACATAATTCACTAACAAAGAAGGTAGAACGATTCCATGCTCCTTGTAGAAGAATGCCATACTAATGGATAAAGGAGTCAGGCAAAGCACGTACCATGATTAAGATGTGAACAGGTGCAGCACATACAGTCATTTCTGTAGACAGTCTACAGCCCCAGATTACTTATTCTGCAAAAATGACAAACCAAGTCTGCAAAGAAATACAGGGCTAAGTGTTGCTCCGGGCATGTTTTTGGCTGTACTTTATAGTAGAAAGTACAATAATTATAGGATACTTTTACAATCCAAACCACAATTCTATTACGGTATTGAGTAGATAGGGTAAATTATTACAAAGACTGACATACAGGAAAAAAAGGATTTTATGTAGAATAGTAAAAAAAAAAAAAAAAGCACTGTACACTTATTAACCAAGAGTGCTGAATTAATCAGGAGTGCTGAACAAGGACTTAAAAAGCAGGTCTGACATGCAATGCATTCTTGCAAAAGACGTATCCTTCCCCACTGCAAAGATATTCCATCACTTCCCTATAAAAAGGGAGAGGGGCACTGACCGCAATAAAAACAGAGGTTGAACCCTTCCCTACACTTAATCAAAAAAAAAAAAAAAAGAAGAAGAAGAAGAAAGTTACCCAATATGATAAGAGAATCATGTACGTGACATAAGCAATCATAGCCTCTAACCTCAAGGCACTTAAGTCATAAAAAAAGTTATTCCTTAGCAGAATAAAAAATTGGAGTGCAAGCCCCCATGTTGGCACACAGATGTAAGGAGAGTCTCGATGGTGATGGTGGCTATATACCAGTGTCTATGTCTCACCAAGTACTGTTATAAATACTATCCTATTGCTTTCCTTGGATCCACTGATCTGCCGCTACAGATATATTCTGTGCAATTAATAGGGTTACAGTTAAGAAATCTACTGACCATTGTAAACTAAACCTTACCAATGGCTCTCATTTTTGTTTACTTGTAAATGATATACATTATTTAAAAAAAAGGTGTATATATCATTCTAAAAACTACCATGTAAGCGGTGCTCCCTACATACAACCTCTAGGTGGCAGTCTCCTTTCTCTATCATGTCTCATATCTGTAAAGCAGATAACAGTACAGGTATTCCTCACTTAACGACCGAGTTCCGTTCCTACGACCAGGTCGTTAAACGGATTGGTCGTTAAGTGAGGAACTCTATACAGTACTGTACTGCATTAGGACAGTACTGTATAGCGTTGCCGATGTACAGTACCGAACAGTGTACTGTACATCCGGCAATGGAAATACTTACCGAGACCTGCAGTGAAGATCGGGGGATGTCACTTCCGCCGGCGACCCGTCGCACTGACGCTGACGGTCGGAGGTCGATCGGCGGTCCGTCGTAAGTGCGAGTGGTCGCAAAACAGGTAAGTCGGTAAGTGAGGAACATCTGTACTACACAAGTTGGAGCACCCCAGTGTTAGCTTGTAAAATGAGATAGGTTGTAAAATGAGGTTAATTCATTCTCCATGTTAAAATTCCTTATAGGCAATATCATTTCCCAGGTCATGGTAAAGCAAGTAAAGTCAGCCGTGCACATTTCGGTTTCTCTCGTTTGGCCCCGCAGGCTGAACAAAAGAAATCAAATCGATTTCCCCGTACAAGATGGAGGAATCTTCCCTGCAGGCTGTCTTCACACTTGAACAGTAACTGCATCTCATAGAATGAAGTCACCATTCTACCAACAATTTTCCACCTGGCTCATTCAACTTCTGTGGAGCCGGGGGTACCGGCAGGGCCACCCACAGCTCAAACTTCGGTTGGTTCGCCAGGAATTGGCTGAAATGTGAGCCATATATGGCAAGCTTAATCACATTCAACTGGACTTGATCAGCTTCATTTAGAAAGTCCAGTTGAATGTGACTAACTACTATTAGCTTTGACAATACATTTTTGATGCAAATGGAATTCTGAAACCAAGAACACAGATATCATATATTGCAGCCTGCCAGTCCTTGGATGTAATGGCTGCAATAGTTTTTCTATTTTTCTGATCCTGCCAAAAAAGGCACTTACTGTCTAGGGTGACACCACTCAGAAATAATGTTATCAGCCCAGCATGAGTTCTCTCTGTGGACTACCTCTCATCTCAGCTTCAGAACATTTGGTGGGGGGAGTTCAGTAGCCCACAAAGATGTCAGGAAGGACTAATAATATTTTTTGAGAGTTCACTGCAGCATTGTCAATGCACTTTTAGATCAGATATAATAGAACACTATCAATTGTATATTTAACAGCTGAAAAGGTAGCTAATACGAGGGTTTTCGTACATTAAAATCATTAAATGATTTATTCAATTTAGTATGCGTTTATATCCATATTTTATTTCCACACAGAATAAATCAGGCCTCAAACATGCAACATTACAGTAACAGGATGTTTTACCTTTTCTTTTGAAGGGCGGAAAAGTTCTTCTTGAAGATGGGGCTAACTTGATTGAGTAGTTCCACCAGTGAGTGGCTGAGGAAGCTGGGGTTGGCTGGCTTAGGGTTAAAGTTGTAGGCTGAAGATCTACAGGAGTGATTACATACAATCATTATCCAAGCACATTCTATAGAATGGTTGATAGAATAAAAATATGCCAACATATTAACCCCTTAGTCACACAGCTTCAGAAAATATTTTGGCTCCTGGGGACCGGAGCAGTTATGCCACTTTTGCTATGTGTATAACCATAATTTCCATCTTTCTTATTCATTGCACCTATACTACATATTATATACTGGGCTTTAATTTGATGTGCCATCCAATATATATATATATATTTATTTATTTATTACACACACACACACACACACACACACACACAACACACACACACACACACACACACACACACACACACGTCTATATTTATTACCGAACAAAACCAGTGTTTCCTGCTCCACTGTAGTCACTGGTCTTGTGTAATGCAGCCTACAGCCTGATAAGCCTTCAAAATATACAACTTACTGGTTGAGGTAGAATCCTCGAGTGGATGCAGTAATGCTGACATGTCGGTCTTCCATAGTGATCACATATAAATACATCAGGTCTCCATGCATCTTTCTGTTACCGGGAGGAGGGTTCCAGCCACTCATCGTGAATACTTTTAAACACTGCAAAGGCTGTAATAAAGTAAAATCTTAAATCACTAGTGTGGCAACTGCTACAGCATGTAGTACATACACAAGAAACGTAGCAGAACTTTGCATGTCAACCCACTCTAGTCGGGGGCACATAAACAGCTATACCATTATACTAGGTTTAAAAGTGTATCCTACTTTCTGAACCAATGTATTCAATGCCCTCAGATAAAGGAAAGATTAAGGAGCCAATCCTGTAGGAATCTGTTTTCAAGTTATCTATGTGGTTATGTTTAGGTTGATGATTGATGGGTACCCTGTTCTATATATTATGGATGATCTGATACACACCTCACCCTGCTTCTACATAACAGCAGCTACATAGCAAAAACACATTTGTAATATTTTGACAGTTTGATGGGCTGTATCACAAATACTTAAAGGTGAAAAATGATTAAATCTTTAGATCATATGCGATAAACATGTTAACGTTATAAAGGACAGAACCAAACTAGTGGGTGTAAGGCTGTAGATATAAATACAAATCAGCTTCTGTCAACTCACATCTTTTAACAGCGTCTCACATTTAACAATGTACAATTTTCACGCGGTAGTTCTGCTGATCTATTACGATAAACATTATGGTTTGTGTTCACTTTACCTTCCAGTCTTTGTTCTGTGGCTGAAGGGGACAGAGGGGTCTCTCCTTGCTACCTGGTAGTATGTTTTCAGGTGGTGTGCAATCTATCTGCTCCAGGTCAGCCCCCTTCTTTTTCTTTTTACCATTCTCTGAAATAGAGACAAGATGCTTACATACATTCTGATTTTGATTAACTGTACTACCACTGCTGATTTCTTCTGATAATACTAGCTTCCTGGCTGTCATACTGATCAACTGGCTTCAGTACTTTCTGAAACACTGACATGAAACACTGACATGAAACAAGTATGCAGATTAGGTATTCTTCATGAATCATAAACATCCCACACATGTTTGTGATTCAGAGAGCTCTGTAGCCAGAGAAAGACAGATAATAAGCATTTTTAGAAGGGGGTCAGCAATGTTAGCCTCCGTATTTCTCTCTGGACAAGTTTGCTTTATTAAATGTAAACCAAAATTCTGATAAGTACATCACCTGTATTATAGTATATTTTACTGTGTATGGTATTTATTTTTAGGAGCTCTTTATAAGTCTGACTATTAACAATTGTGTTTGACATTTATAGCAAATACGAACATACAGTATATACATTGTGAGGTTGTCTCCATTTTTCTCCAGTTGTGAATATGAAGCACCTTTTTTATTTTGGTTGTGTTTTGCTTTCCCTTGTAAAACAAAATGCAATGCAGATAATCTACTCAATGAAAATGCGGTTTGGGTTTAGGATAGTGTGATCAGGGCCTTGAAACATCTAGTAATCCTGCACCATACTCCTGCCTTTGCCATTATTGCACGTTTCAAAAACATGTTGGCGTCTACTAGGCTTGTCATCACTCTTGTTGCAGAGCTGCCAATGCTAGCCTCTACCTCAGGGATAGTCAAAGCCTCAACACCCCAGCTGTAGTGAAACTACAAATCCCATGAGGCTTTGCAAGACTGACAGCCAAAAGGATTGGCTCCCAGAGGCAGACATGATGAGATTTGTAATTTTACCACAGCTGGAGGCATGAAGTTTGCCTAAGGCTTGTCACACACCTTACAACCATCGCAAGACTTTTGTCTTGCGATGGTTGTAAGGTACTTAAAAAAAACGTACGATCTGCCTATCTTGCATAGGCAGATTGTACTTGCGATGATCGCAACCACGCCCCGAGGGGCGGGCTTCCGATGACCGCAATGCCGAACGGGCAGTGTGTGCTTGCGCACACCGGCCCGTCCGGCTTTTATCTTATGAACATGCAACACACCCGACCGAACATCGTACGATGCTCGGCGGGTTTTAAAACATGTTCGTAAGTTTAAAGTCGTAGTAGAGGTCGCACGGCCTCCACACACCTTACGATAATCGTACGATCGCGGGATTTCCCGCGATTATCGTACGGTGTGGGGGGACCTTAACCCTGATCTACCTCCTGAATACTCCTATTAATATAGTGCCGCTTAATTTCTGCAAAAAGACATCAGTGATTACTGCAGAAGGAAGATGGTTTGAAAGATGGCCAGACAAATTTTGCAAATAAAGCCTCAGAACACTTTTTTTTTTTTTTTTAACACAATGGAGGTAATTTACTATATTAGTATATTCTGTTTACTGTAAACACATAACTATAACCAAGGATTAAAAAAAAAGTAACAGCACATGATTGCAGCCCCAAGAAAATACAGCTTCACTAAGTAAAAAGTGTACTTCTTTAGTAAATCATCCTCAGTGGCTTTCAGTCACCAATAAACTTACATAACCTTATATTACAAATAATGCTAAAGTCTTGAACTGTGAACTGAAGTGTAGATGCATATCAGATACATTCATATTGATCTACATTTAAGATTACCCTGAACACCCACAACTCCATACCTCCAAGGTCACCATCTGTGAAGACGCTTAAAAATGAGAGGGAGTTACAATCAACTCCATTGAACGCATCAGACGGGTCCAGGCTCTTCAGTAAGTCTCTTATGTGGCGTACGTGAATTCTGGCCTCTCGAACGGTATATGGCTCTAGAAATAAACAAAAATGAAAGTTAGAAGAGGTTCCAGTCCAGTGTGCCCTATATGCTACTATAATCAGTTTGTACCTGTTCTTAAATGGGCAAATGCAACTTGCTTTCCTATGCACACAGCTTGCATTTCAGATCATTTATGAGATGATCCAGAGATTATTGACAAGTTAATTTGACCTGCTTTCAACTCTTTTCTGACCTGCATAAACCTGCTTTAGCTTCCCCTTTGACTGGTATCGGGACAGAACCAGTTCTGATGCAAATAAAATCCTGTGTGCATGGGGCCCATACTTCACTATTGCCTCCCGAGCTTCACATACTTTCCTTCCCTTTGCTCCCTCCATTCAGGTGTGGGAAACATGTGACCCATTCCTAGTCCTCCCAAATGACAGTACTGGTGCTTAGTGACTGGGTACTCAGGCACCCAGTGCTGTCACACGGGGAAGAGCCTTGCACAAAGCTTCCTCTTAACACTGCTGGCAACTGAAAAGAGTTTCAGGACAGTAAAAGGAAAGAGCATGTGTGTGCAGCTGGGGTGGGTGGCAGTTAGGTGAACATACTGCTTTGTCCTGCACAGCCATAGCACAGGTTCACTTAAGAACACCGCACTGTATACTCGAGGACACGAAGGTCATCAATAGTTATGTGCATGACTTCCTAGAACCCTCTCCAGCAAAGAGGTTTTATTTCAATTATTTGTTGATATATACAAACTCAAGCGATCCTTTAAGCTTGTCTAGACACTAACAAATTCACAGATTGTATGCAAACACAAATTTATAAACAAGCAAAAACTTGGACATCAAGTCAACTATACAAACATTGTTTAGACAATCAAATATATTACACTGGATTTGGTGACCTACCTTCAACGACTTTGAGAACAGCACCCTCTTCAAAGCCTTCTATAGTCTTGAGCTCTGCAAAGTTGTCTAGCACATTACCATCTAACTGGAGGGAGAAGCAAGTTCTATGACAAGTGTCCTCTCTATCCATTAGAACCTGATGAATCTCCTGAACCATTTCCTGAGGGGACACCTTAAGGAAAACCCAGAAAAAGGATTCTAAATATATGTATATGTTTTCTACATGTATTTCACATTTTATTTGTCTATACAACTTACAAGCATATAAGTAACATTTTCACACTAGAACTGCCTGCGTATCATCAAGAGCCGATTACCTGAATGGAAAACATCTCTAACCCGGAGACTTGAACCTTGACAGTGAAACCTGTATCCTGAATAACAATGACTTCCTGCTCACTTCCATCGTCTGCCTGTTCTCCAACATCATGGCCATTCTGCTTTGGCTCAACGTCTGTCTGGTGTTCAGCAGCCCCATCTCCATTCATCAAGGTCATGCTACTCTGATGCTCTGAGGGAAAACACAACAAGGTCATGGTTAGTCTTCCAAAATGAATCAAACAAGACTGTCTGGCATCTGCAGTATATAAAGAGTATTTGGAGACGAAAGACTGACTAAACTTTAGTTCGCTGTAATATTCAAAATATCTATCCATCTATCTATCTATCTATCTATATGTATATCTATATGTATATACATATAGATATAATGTGTATCTATCTATCTATATATACACACACACACACACACACACAAATTCAATTGATTCCTTAGGAAATTCATAACGATCCCACATTGTGGTAATTCTGGCCGACTAGCGTATCAGGCAAAAAATCCCAATGTGTTTCACTATATTAATGCGGCTGGGAGAGGATTCCCCACATATGTATGGAATAAATTTATTGCCAGACACGTGGCTATTTGGTTGCTTGAGGTTTCAACTCAATGTATCGGAAGTCTCCCATCTTCTATGGATTTTGGAGACCTTGAAAAAGTTATCAGTGAATTGGGTCTGCCAGGGTCCTCTCCTCCTTTGATTCCGGTGTCACCAACAGGGGTGGGATGGGACTTGGATTGGAGCCTTGGACCTCTTGTTCATCTCCTGAGAATCTCTGCTGTCCTCCTAGACACTATGGGGGTGATTTACTAACCTAAAACACACGCACGCACTAGGTGTGTGTGATTTTTACACAGCAAAACGTATTTATCAACCAAAAAGTCTCTAAAAGCATATTTCCACTAATGCCATATATGGAAAAATCATGCACATGATGCATATATAATGCTGCTTCACAGTTTAGACAAAAATGGTTAGCTCATGCATTTACATTCCTGCATTCATCAACGCAAGCAACACAACATAGAGCTAATTTACACAACATCACCTTGCAATTCATGCAGGGCTTTGCACAACACACCTGCTGGGTGTGTACACACTACAAAGGTGTTTAGATTCCACCCATAGATCATGCTGGGAGGGAACACACTACAGAGGTGTATACATGTTCGTGGTGTGTTTATAAGGTTAGTAAATCAACCCCTATGTGTCTTTATCAGTTACCTCCAGACCCCTGAGGAAGCGATTGTAGTGAAACACGTTGGGTTTAATGCCTGATACTATAGTCGGCCAGAATTACCACAATGTGGGATCGTTGTGAATTTCCTAAGGAATCAATTGGATATGTGGATATAGAAAATATATATATATATATATATATATTTACTGCTATGTATTTATATGGCGGCGTATCTAGTATAATGTGGGGGAACTTATGTTTTTATGATGATCAAAACCTTTTACTGATATGTAAGAATATGTACAAATACATTTCTTTGATTTTACTTGTGCCATGGCTGTGACACCTCATTAAACCCCAACTCCTTCTTGTTTTCTATGTATTCTATAAGGGGGAGAGGTGCCTTCAGATAGGGTGCATCGAGGCAATTTATTTTTGTTGATACTAGTATAGGGGTAGGCAACCTCAACATTCCAGCTGTTGTGGAACTACAAGTCCCATGAGGCATTGCAAGACTGACAGCCACATGCATGACTCCTGGAGGCATGATGGAATTTGTAGTTTCCACAAAGCTACAGTACCAAGGTTGCCTACCACTAGTATCCCCTCATTTATCCTAATATAAAAATGTAGCGATTTTTCTTGTAAAGTCAAAAGAAACACAGAAGTCATCACACAAAAGACAGAGCACAAAAGCAAAGTAAACCTTATTCAGGCATTTTGATCCCTTCCATGAAACATGCCTAAACAGAGAACTAGACTACTTTTAGAACGTACACTTAGATGACATAACACATGAAAAGGCATGATACTAGTTACAACTAAATTCTCGTTTTTGTACAAAAACTAATGGCATATAAAATGTACTTCGAGGTACGGTCATATTCTGCCTAAAGAAGGTCCTTATTTGAAACTGTCAAACTCTACGTTTCCTGTGACAAGTAAATTCTAGTTGTACTTGTCCCGTACATGCCAGGAAACCAAAGAAAAAAAAAAAAAAGAACTTGGCTGCAATGGGCAGCAAACAATTTTCCTTTCACACACTTTGGAAACCAGAGACTTGACGCGTTGTGTCATCTGATATGAAGTACCTGCGTTCCCACCAAGCACCGCTACATACAGTACACACAGCAAACTGCTTAGCACTGCAGAAATCAAATACTTGGGAGCCAAGCCCAGTTCTGGGAAGCCAAATCAGAGCTAATAAAATGCATCATCAAAACGGTGAGCACTTTGTTTAATTTTGTCTGAACTTTGAACGTGACATTAACAGGAATGCGCATATAGTCTGTGTTTGGGGTGTAAGGCCCTATTCACATCTGTCTGTTCTCCTGCAGGCAAGTGCATTTCAAGTAGTATTACCATTATTTTCCTTGTTGCCGTTTCACATCTACATACTACAATTTAGTGTGGTTATAAAAAGGAAACTATGCATGTGCATCATCAAGTGTGAGTGAGCTACTATACCGACTACACACCACACCAGATAATGTGTACACATTGCTGGGGTCCTGAAACAAATTGCACCTACCCACACTATATTGTCAAAAGTATTGGGACGCCTGCCTTTATACGCTCATGAACTTTAATGGCATCCCAGTCTTAGTCCGTAGGGTTCAATATTGAGCTGGCCCACCTATTGCAGCTATAACAGCTTCAACTCTTCTGGGAAGGCGTCCACAAGGTTTAGGAGTGTGTCTATGGGAATGTTTGACCTTTCTTCCAGAAGTGCATTTGTGAGGTCAGGTACTGATGTTGGACGAGAAGGTCTGGCTCGCAGTCTCCGCTCCAATTCATCCCAAAGATGTTCTATCGGGTTGAGGTCAGGTCTCTGTGCGGGCCAGTCAGGTTTCTCCGCCCCGAACTCGCTCATTCATGTCTTTATGGACCTTCATGTTGGAACAGAAAGGGGCCATCACCAAACAGTTCCCACAAATTTGGGAGCATGAAATTGTCCAAAATGTCTTGATATGCTAAAGCCTTAAGAGTTCCCTTCACTGGAACTAAGGGGCCAAGCCCAACCCCTGAAAAACAACCCCACACCATAATCCCTCCTCCACCAAACTTTACACTTGGCACAATGCAGTCAGGCATGTACCGTTCTCCTGGCAAACGCCAAATGAAGACACGCCCATCGGAGTGCCAGACAGAGAAGCGTGATTCGTCACTCCAGAGAACACGTCTCCACTTCTCTAGAGTCCAGTGGCGGCGCGCTTTACACCACTGCATCTGACACTTTGAATTGCACTTGGTGATGTAAGGCTTGGATACAGCTGCTCGGCCATGGAATCCCATTCCATGAAGCTCTGTACGCATTGTTGTTGTACCAATCTGAAGGCCACATGAAGTTTGGAGGTCTGTAGCTATTGACTCTGCAGACAGTTAGTGACTTCTGCACACTGCGCTTCAGCATGCACTGACCCCGCTCTGTCATTTTACGTGCCCTACCACTTTGTGGCTGAGTTGCTGTTGTTCCCAGTTGCTTCCACTTTGTTATAATACCACTAACAGTTGACCGCGGAAAATTTAGTAGCAATTTCACGGATGGACTTATTGCACAGGTGGCAACCTATTACCACACTTGAATTCACTGAGCTCCTGAGAGCGACCCATTCTTTCACAAATGTTTGCAGTAGCAGTCTGCATGCCTAGACACCCATAACAACTTGTGATCAAACAGAAAAAAACACCCATGCACTAAAGGTAAATGCAGCTAAAATAAACATCATTGTTGAGTTAAAAGACATGATTAAAGAAATGGCTGCGCCTAAACGTTATTATGAAAACTAAAGCCTGGGCTGCAAACATCACATGGTCTTTGACTAGAAGCGTCCATTGTGGGTATATCGGAGATTGCAGAGAGTCATTTGAATTCAGACAGACGGTCTAATAAGAGGATCAATGCAATATGAATGTGCAGTACCACTAAGCAGAAAGCACACCCTGCATATGTAATTAAGAAATATGACTAGCCTCAAGCACATCTACAACAACAAACTAGCCACAAATAAGAATTTTAAATCAGGAGATCATTTACAATTGCTGACCTCTTTAACATGTTTATGTAAATAAAAAAAATACCATACAGTTTAACAGAACGTTATTAAATATAGTATATTTGTAGAAATGTTGATTTGGAGGAGAAATTCTAACACTAATCAAATGTAATATATTGAAAATTAGCATTCGTTTCTAATATAAACAAGTGAAATTTGAAAACTAAGATACATGGCTACAAAGCATCATTCCAGAATAAAGTGCTCCAGGCTAGAAGGAAAACTTGATTTTGTGAGCATAGTATGTCCCATAAAGAACCTAGACCCCTCTATGACAGATGAGCCAGCAACAGGGACCCGATGCCCCGGTATGTATGCAGCACAATGCATGACACAACTTACAGTCCTAAGGTGTACTTGTTTTGGTAGCTTTAACAGTTAACCCATAGGCAACTAAATTCTCTATCTGACCTACGGTAATAATTACCTGCAGAATGTGTGCGCTCCATGATTACTAGATACTTGAAGGTTTTAGCACAAATAAATAGTAAACTATAAAGAAAAGTAAATGGTAATAATCCGATGTCAGGGGAAAGAGGGAGCTGGATTATCTTGAATGCTTGCACAAAAGTTAAAAAAACGCTCTATCGTGGGTGTGCCAGTAACTGGAGGCAGACAGGAAAACAGGCTCAGTCAGTTTTGTCAGGCTGTAGGCTCTCTCGCTTTTGGTTATGGGACCAGTTCAGGGTTTTTCTTCTCTTCACTGGGAATGCACATGTCATGCTTCAAAAAATCTCAACTCGGGAATGTCATATGAGCCAAACAAAGGATATCTTCTTGCTGCAAAGCCTTGCTCATATTTCATACATTTTATTTAGGAAATTAAAAAACACATTAACTGCATAACTATACACTTCATCAGGATACACATTCTACTTAAAGCGACACTAAACTCTGGAGTTAATCCTTAAAAATGCATTAATTCACCTTAACTATT